AGAGAGAGAGAGAGAGAGAGAGAGAGAGAGAGAGAGAGAGAGAGAGAGAGAAGAGGGAGATGAGAGAGGAGAAGAGGAGAGAGACGACAGGAGAGGTAGAGAGAGAAGAGGTGAGAGAGGAGAAGGAGAGAGAGAGAAGAGAGAGAGAGAGAGAGAGAGAGGTGAGAGAGAAGAGGAGAGAGAGAAGAGAGAGAGAGAGAGAGAGAAGAGAGAAGAGAGAGAGAGAGAAGAGAAGAGAGAGCGAAATGAGGAGAAGAGAAAGGATAGAGAGAAGAGAGAGACGAGAGAGAGAGGGAGAGAGGAGAGAGAAGAGAGAGAGAGAGAGAGAGAGTAGAGAGAGAGAGAGAGAGAGAGACGAGAGAGAGAAGCAGAGAGAGAGAGAGAGAGAAGAGAGAGAGAGAGAAGAGAGAAGAGAGAGAGAGAGAGAGAGATAGAGAGAGAGATTATAGCCGACTGTTTTTGACAAACCCTATAAATATCAGATACAGATACGAAAAGTGTAAAAAAAAAATGTAATTATATTCTACAGTCAAAGAAAAACCAAAGGAAATTAGAGGGTAACTATATCTTTTTCAACAACCGTTCAGAATGTTTTGTCCCTGATTTGTAGAATGGATTAACAGAATCAGTAGGACGTAGATACATTTTTTTTTTTGGGGGGGGCGGGTTAAGACTAGTCTGGACCAAATATGAAGAGTATGTATTCTGAACCTATTAATTGCATAGCACATTTATCTGATCTTAGGGAAATGCAAGAACTCATACTCAACAGATTTTTTTTTTACTTTTTAACAATAACAATACAGTTAAGTTTTAAAGGGAAGGGATCTCGCTTACGTTCGCCAACAAGGCATATTACACGCAATTTTGTAAATCTGGATTCACATGATTTTTTTACTTCAAACCTTATCTTTCTTTGTCCTCCCTCTAAGGACCGAAACATTCCAAATTTTCGTGTTCAAAATGTGGATTGGGATTGGTTGTTAATCAAAACAACATCGGCGAATCGACAGGGACCTACTTTTCTCTCTCTCTTTTTTTTTTTTTTTTTTAATTGAGCCAAGGAAACATTTAGGACGGTGTGTCACCTCCCCCCCCCCCCCGCCTCCCTTGATGTGCGTCCCTGACAGTCAGTCTCCATCTGCCGTGCTTATTACGAAGCTAAGTATAAACTAAGTGTAAAGAATAACTATAAACTAAGTATAAACTAAGTATGAACTAAGCATAAAGTTTAAGTATAAACTAAGTATAAGGTATAAGTATAAACTAAGTATAAAGTATAACTATAAAAATATGATTATAAACTAGGTATAAACTAAGTATAAAGTAAGATTATAAAACTAATAAACTAAGTATAAAGTATAATTATAACTAAATACAAACAAACTATAAGCCTAAACTAAGTTTAAAGTATAAGTATAAAGTAAAAGTATAAACTAAGTATAAAGTATAATTATAAACTAGGTATAAACTAAGTATAAAGTATAATTGTAAACTAGATATAAACAAACTATAAGTCTAAACTAAGTTTAAAGTATAAATGTAAAGTAAAAGTACAAACTAAGTATAAAATATAATTATAAACTAGGTATAAACTAAGTATAAGTATAATTGTAAACTAGATATAAACAAACTATAAGCCTAAACTAAGTTTAAAGTATAAGTGTAAAGTAAAGTACAAGTAAAAGTAAACTAAGTAAACTAAGTATAAACTGAATGTAAAGTATAAGTATAAGCTATGTATAAAAGTATAAGTATAAACTAAGTATAAAGTAAAATATTAAACTAAGTATACATAATTATAAAGTAAGTACAAAATATAAGTATAAACTAAGCATAAACGAAGCTAAATATAAACTAAGATATATTTACAAATTACATATTAGGAAGTAGACCGAACGCACTATCAAACTACCCATCCACGAATAATAATATTGATCAGTATGTGACACTGATCAATGTTATTAGCCGTGTATACTATATATTAAAAGGTTGTTCTATATATTGACGGCATTAGGGTTAATTTGATTTTCTGTTAATAACACCAGCAATGATATTGACCGTGTATACTGTACACTGAAGGGTTGTTATATGTATTTACGGCATTGGGGTTAATCTGATTTTCTGTTAATAAACACCAGTAATGATATTGAAGTCTGCCTTCCCATGAAATAATTTATAAACCTATTGAAGGATAAGAGAGTCCCTCCACAAGACCTTGAAAATTAAAACCAGACGAATTATAGTAATCATACCAAGAAATTGGAGTCACACCAAACAATTCAGAATCGATACACACACACACACACACACACACACACACACACACACACAGATATTATATATATATTATATATATATATATATATATATATATATATATATATATATATATATATATATATGTATATATATGTATATATGCATATATATGTGTGCGAGTGTGTTGTGTGGATGTGCTTTTGTGCATACACACACACACACACACACACACACACACACACACACACACACACACACACACACACATATATATATATATATATATATATATATATATATATA